CCTGTGGCCTTTATGGGAAGGTGATTCTGGTAGCTATTAAGTAGACCAGGAGTAGGCAACTCTGGCTCTTTTATGACTCGTGGACTTCAACTTCCAGAATTCCTGAGCCAGCCACACTGAGGGGAAAGGGAGAGGTTTCCATGCTGAGCCATGCTGGCTCAGGAATTCTGGGAGTTGAAGTCCATGAGTCAGAAAGCGGCCTAGGCCTAGGTCTAGGCCAGAGGTAGGCAACCTTGGCTCTTTTATGACTCGTGGACTTCAACTCCCAGAATTCCTGAGCCAGCCACGCTGAGGGGAAAGGGAGAGGTTTCCAAGCTGAGCCAGGCTGGCTCAGGAATACTGGGAGTTGAAGTCCACGAGTCATAAAAGAGCCAAGGTTGCCTACCCCTGAAGTAGACAATCGGTATAGTTACCGTAGAGATTCCTGTTGGGTTGTCCTCTGAAAAGGTCTCTGGTGTCCTCATCAGAAACAAGATGTTTCAGCTGGGGAACTTGTAGAGTCCCCTCAAAAGATCCTGAAGCCCCCAGACAGGAAGTTGGATGCTATGAAGATACTTGAAGAAGAGGGTTATCATGAATTGCCTCAACTATTGACTTTAAGATATATATTTTTGTGAAGTCCCAATTTAGATAAAAATGGAGATGTTTGGCTTCAGGCATATGCTGAGTTCAAAGTTCAACTCAAGAACAAATGGCCTTTCAGATATTGCTAAGGAAATCTTCCAGAAATCAAGATAGGCATTGTTCAGTGCTAAACCCGAAGGAAGCACAGATTTCACATTCCTGAAGGAGGAAATAGTAATTCGATAGAGAATCAGGAAAATATTTTCCTGAGATCTTAATTGAGATCTTGGTGTAAGCAAGATTTTTATTTTGAGCAATGGGATTTCATTGGGTTGGCTGTATGGCGCCCAGAGTCACTTTATGTGAGATGAATGACCGAGCAAATTTGATTATTAAATAAAGTCAATAAATAAAAGGTAGCTTTCCATAAACGATGAGCTAAAAATTACTGACTCATTTTTAGTTGAAAGAGTAATTTATGATATACTTATTTTCCATCTCCTCCTTTTTAGGATCTTTATCACTCAGTTAGGAAAAGCCAAGAGTTACAGATCTGATTCTAGATTTCAGAGGAGAGCAAAGGACAGAATCCTGACACCTCCCACTGTTGGATGGTTGTAAGATATTAAAAGGGTACCAGGACCAGGGTGCTTCTAGATTTACCGATTGAAATGATCCTTCTTCTAGTTTTGCACACTGACTAAAAACCGATACTAAGGGAGGGGGGAATGTTATAACTAATTGAACCTTGTCATGTTATGTGGATGCATTCGCTAAATCTTTAAATGAATGGAAGAAGCATGTTAGGGTATTTTCAAACCATTGGGTGCTTTTAAATAGCCCCTAGCTAGCACTACCAGTCAAAAGACATTTTAATATCTCCTAATCGTGTATAAACTGGGATCCACATCAGTTAAGCAAGAGCATATATTTTCCCATTTCCAGAATAGTAAATGATAGACAGAATGCGAAACTCATGTTTTAAAGGCTGCAAGCTTGATGCTAATGCGTTTAAAGGAATATCTTTGAGAGGCAAAACAGACCCGCTCCTACCTTATCTAAGAATAAGTTCTGAAACCCATGGAAAGGTTAGTTTAGATGAGTCAACATAGATAGGACTATGCTGTTAATGATTTATGATAATAGTATGAAGAACCAGGCTGTTAGCCCAAAAATAGAAACACCCCCAAGGATTAGTTAGTTATGGGATGTTGGAAAAGGCCTTCTGCTTTTCACCCGATTCTGTAGGTCTTCTAGTCTTCTAATTCTCCTGTCTCGGATTCTCGTGGCAATTCATCTCTTCCTCCCTTTTCCCTTTAGGTGATTGTCTGGGGAGACTATGGCCGCATGGACCACAAGTGCTTCATGGGGATGGCTCAGATTGTCCTAGATGAGCTGGACCTGTCCAGTGTAGTGACAGGTTGGTATAAGCTCTTTCCCACTTCCTCGTTGGCAGACTCCACCATCGGACCCCTTACTCGTCGCCTTTCTCAGTCTTCACTAGAGAGTTCAATAAGCCCTTCTTGTCCTTAAAGAAGACAACACAACAACAACAACAACAACAACAGAGAATGCCTTGTTCTACCACGGCTTCCGGAAGTATGGTTTGTAAATATTCCATGTCTTTTCCTCCCATCACCCTTTCTCCTCCTCCTCCTCTTCCAAGGAAATTGTTCCAGTGACTTTAGACATGTCTGATCCTCCCTCTCTGGGTGGACAACGTAGGAGAAATCCAAAAGGGTGATGGGGGAGGAATTGAAAGGGAAAGAAAAGAAACACGTATTAAGGAGAGGAAAAAAAAAACTCGATTAACAAATTGCCAGTTTCAAGACTGTTACATCACCCCAAAGAAAACGGCCCGTGAAAAGGAGTAAACCGTTTCTCATGTTGGAAACATCTTAGGCAGGATCTCAACCGTTAAACCCACTTCAAAATAGCATGTTAGGTTTTCTTTCTCCTCTCAGTCCTGTTTTATTTTGGCATCTCTGGAGGATAAGCTTTGATTTCTCCTAGTGTTTCTTTAAACAAAACAAAAAAAAGGGGGAAAAATGGAATGCGGCACTAACGTCTTTTTTTTTTTAAAGGAATGTAGCATTTTCAGACATTATGTAGCTTGCCACGTGCTTACGGATTCCTCTGCAATATTTGTACAGTACGGTCATCTTCCCACCTGGCAGGAGCTGTCAGCATTTCACTTCCTGCTTAAATCCTGGGTTTTGGAATCCTGGAGAAAGTAATTTCGTTTGCATTGTGCGTACCTGGAAAAGGCTAGGAGGATCTGCCAAAGGTGTGGAAGAAGAGAGATCTCCAAAGGGTGCATCCGACTGTTAAGTTCAAAGAATACTAAGACTCATGATTTTGCTTTGTCATGCTTAGAGAAATTTAATTGTGTCTCCTCCTTTAGACACTCCTGTTTTAGATACTGGATCTTTGATGCTACTTTAGCAAGGCATATGCAAAGAACACTCTTATTGAAATGGGCCCTTGGTTCAGTTTGTCCTCATTGTGTCTGGAACAATTTGCAGCCCGAAAGGCAAGATAACCAAACCAACCAATTTCCAAACAGAAGATAAAATACAACGAGAAGAAATGTACTGGGCAAACGTGGACGCTCTTCAAAATTTCATAGGAGAGTCCCTGGATTTCTCAAAAGGATGAGTATGGAGTCTCTCCATTTATTAACTGTTTCAGTTTAATCCAATCTGGCTGCTATCCAAAACCAACTAATTTGTTAAAAAAAAAAAATTGAACGTTTGATGGAATTTGCTTCTGTGTAAACCCGCATGGGCTGGATTGTTAGTTGTACGAATATGTTTTACAGTATGTAGCAATCTGGTCTCTCAGTGACGGCCAGTTCCTGTAGCAAAATTGAGAATTACAGAAGCTTTTCATGAAGGTGCCTACTAAAATTTGTTGCAAATACTCAGGGGAGATACTACTGAAAATCACAATTTCTTTATTGTTCCTGTTATTTTATTTTTTTTAATTTCCCATAGACTATAGGAGCATTAAAAGCTGGCGGATTGAGTGTTGATGTGAGAGCAGCCTGAAAGCTACTGGTTAGTTTCTGGATACTAGACAGCCTTGGAAATGGCTCTTAAATTGGAATGCTCATTTTAGCTATCCACACTTGATTTTAACGGAAGGCCAAGAAACTCTTTTACTTCTTAGGTGTTTTATAATATAAGTAAAGTAAACATGGGTTCTTCTGTAACTTCAGTTAGGACGAAACACAAGGGAAGTTCTCAAGAAGACAATTAAGGGGAAACAGAACCGATAGCATTTAATTTCCCCCTTACAAGGATGACAAGTTTCCAGAGGATGTTTTGATGGGATCCCATCACACCCTTCAAAAAAAGCACGTGTAAATATATTAGTAACTTATTTCAGTAACATTAACCTGCACCGATTTTGGGATATGGAATTTCTGTAGCCACCAATTTGGCCACCACAATTTCACCAGACCAAACCATCTACAGCACAGGTGTCAAATTCGATTGCGTCACGTGATGTATTGTGACGTTTTTGCCTTTGTGGAGCTGGGGTAGGCGTGGCCTGCGCATGACGCATCCGGCCCGCGGGCCACCAGTTTGACACTGACCTGATCTACAGATTTCAAAGCAGGGAGTTGATGAAATTATCTTGGCCTTGTTCTCCTTGAACACCCTGTCGTTCTGTTGCTCTCTACATGTATGGACTGTTGTGACATTTTCCAGAATAAGCAATATATTGGTTTTGAGTCTACACCGGAGACACTCTGTCTTGTTCATTTTAGAAAGCCTTTTTTGACAAAAAGACAAAAACGTGTCATCTGGCATTCACCTCTAAACCAACAAAATGTTGCCTGGTTTCACTGCATCCTGAATCTAAGTTGGAATAAATGCAATTTGCAAAAGATTTTTTTTTAAAAAATGCAGAGCAGGACTAACTCAAAAGTTTGCCTCTAAGGACAAAATGTGGCCAATCGCTCGGTGGTCTGTTTTGCAGAAAACCGAGGTCTGCTTCCAAGTAGAAAAATATGGATCACGAAAGCCTTGTGATAGTTGTTAGTCTTGTGGAGTCAGCACAATTTGCCCCCTAAAATACGATTTTGAGTGAATAGCCGAACTGTGCCTCAAATTATGACTCTGAGATTTGAGGAGCCACGGTGACAGTTCTTCTAAAGGATATCACTTAGCACAACAATTATGTAAAATATGAGCAAGGACGGCAGTAAAGATTTTGTGCAACCGGGGACGGGCTTCTCCTGAAGGGGCTCTTTTGAAAGACCGGCAGAAAACGAGTCAATGAAGTGCCTGCAGAAAGTACAACCATCAGTAGAAGGTGGTCCAGGTCCAAGAAATCCTGCTGCAGAAAGAGCAGCTACTCTCAATGAACAGCACGAATCCTCTTCTTCTTCTGGTTCCTAAACCGAGAAGAGTCCTTCAAAGACCAATTGCATTCTTGAGACTGAAGTTTTGCTTATCCAGGGATCCTTGCACATTTTCCCTAGATGGTTGGCGACTTTTGCCAATATAAAGCATAGAAGCATTGTTTGAACCAATCCCCAGTGCTCCAGATAACTGCGCTACAGCCCCCAAGCTTGCCATGAACCCAGATTCTGGGGGGTCTCTGAACTTTCCTACCTCGACCTTAAACCACTCTGGATATCTGCTTGTATCATCTCTTTGGCTTGATCACCTGAACTTGTTTTTGTTTCCCCCCCCCCCCAGTGTATTGATTGCTGACCTTCAAAATGGTCTGTGCTTGTAAGATCTTGAATTGTGTTTCATCTTAGCTAAGCAGCTGCTCGAAATATATTTTACTGCCAGCTTCAAGCCGTGGTCGACACTGAGCAGTGCCCCGGCTTGCTTAGCAAGTAACACTAGTTATAGGAATACAATGGCGTCTTTGGGTGACGGACAGGCAAAGGATGCCTTATTGATCCATGGAAAGGTCTGTATAATAATGCTCATGGTGTAAAAGAACAAGGATGAGACACTGCCACATCTGGAGACATCTCACCTAGTTTAGCAATGGCACCATCAGTCTGAAAAAATGGAGCAAGGTAGCAGATAAATAGAAATCAAATTAATTCTGTTCCCAGGTAGTGAAATTAAGGTACTAGGCATTTCTAAACAGCTTCCAGTATTTTTATAACAGTTCAGACAAGAGTGATATGATGTGATCCTAAGATAGCATGCATGATATTGCAGTCAGGCACATACGGAAACCAAAGTTGGAACCGCTAAGACATTTCACATGCTTTTATAAATTCAGCAGTGAAGGAAAGAGGTACAAAGAGGTATGTCCCAACGTAAGAACTACAAATCTAGATGCAATATGGAATTAGTCCATTTCCACCTCAATAGAAAGTTTTGGATTTATCGGGCAGCCCGTAATCATTTTGATAAAAGTCTTTAGTTTGTTTTAAACAAAGTATTCTCACAGTGAGAAGCTTATGTTAGAGAGATGATGAGGTTTCAGATAGAGTTTCATGTCTAAAAACTGCTCCCAAATACTAAAATGCATTTCATGGGAACAAAAAAAACCAATTAATTTCAGGCCATTAAAGGAGCTTTAGGTTTTTATTTCATAAGCATCAATCCTCTCTTTTGTGCCAGAGCTGATGGTATCTCCCACTCTGAGGATTTGATGTGAGCAAAAGTCCCAGTGAGGAATCCCAAATGCCCTTGAACGTGCTAAGAAAGAGTCCTAGCTAGATCTTGGGTTTTTTTATTTGGGCTGTGACCTCCATTTTTTTAAAAAAAAGATTTCTCTGCACAAAATACAACAAAAATTCCCAATGGCAAAATGTAAAAAAATTCCTGTTGAAATGTTAGCTATTTTTGTTTCAAAAATAGGGGGGAAATAGTTATACCCCAAAACCATTACATTGGCTTCAAATTGGGTAGATCCAGAGAACATTTATCTCATGATCTGCATTTTGAAGTGGACCACCACTGGCATTGCCCTATTTCCAGATGCTGTTTTTTCGCCCTCTAACATTGTTTCCTTGTCTGCTGTTTCCGACAGGAACCACTGAAATGTATTTTATTTATCTGGCATATTTATATCCCATTTTTTCTTCCCGCATGGCATTCAAAGTGGCATGTATAAATTTGCCAAGCCCCCCACAAACCTTTCATTTTATCAGAGAGGCAGTTTTATATACATTATTGTAAAGAAAGGGCAGGAAAATTTAGAAAATGGCCCCCGTTGCAGTTAAAGGTTTGCCTCTGAGCATAATTTGCCAGAATTATTGAATGGATGGAACGTGATCCAAATGAACAAGAACTCTGGTGAGTTGTCCTCTCTGAATTTTAATCCACACTAATTCAGTGCAGAATAAGAGTTAACAACCGCAAGCTGAAATGGAGAGATGAGCTATAAGCAACGTTGGGATTGAGATAGAATTTGTCGAAAGACTAAAGAAGCATGTAACAGCTCATCTTTACAGGAAAAATAAATGTGCCTCTGGACTAAAGGCAATTTGATCGACTTTACAATGAAGATGCGTGCTAGATTCAACACTGCCACCTGCTGCTTGGAGA